AGTCTGCCTTAGTCTGCAAGGTCCGCTGAAACCTGTCCACCATGGGTGATGGCTGGTATTTGAAATACCGGTGGCATAGCTTCCAGCATCACAGCAACATGCAAGCCACCCCAGTTTGACAAACTGACAGACGGGTGGTTTGTAGCTGAGTGCAAACAGTTTGCATCATCCAAGGAGCCAATGAGGACAGTAACCATTGGTTAAACATAGGAACAACAAACTTGAACACAAAAGCTGCTGAAACTGTTTCAGTATTTGCTGATTTCTGACTGGCATTTTTTGACGAATGAGTGTTTGTGACAACACAGCAATTAAGTGCAATGATGAAGGTCAGTAGAATAAAACAGACACTGTCAATTCTCTCTAAATGACTTTTACTCAGAAGTTTTCTGACTTAAAATTTGACACTAGACTGTTTTAGTAAAAACCTCCAGGAAGAACAAATTTGTTTTTCCATTATAGACTGCCCAGTGCTCAATCCATAAGTATTATTCTAAAAAAATGAAAATGTCAGATTTTTCAAGTAGTTTTTTGATAACTCATTAACATCTATAGTAATGTATTAATTGATGGGGTTGTTTTGGTTTGCAAAGTTCAGGATAGCTTTTTGAAAGAGACATTCAGAAAATCAATCCTCTCCAAGTATTTCCCTTTTTGTGTGTTTAGCTTACCTGTGTTCTCTGGGGGAACAGTGACCACCCCCCTTTGTCCAGGATTGTCTTTATTTTTAGTCCGTCATTCCAAAGAGATTGCATAATCTCTACAAACACTGCTAGAGACAAGCCACTTTCTACCAAGGCTTCTTTAACCTGAATTCCTAGGACAAGTAAACAAAAAACTTTTAACTTCCTGAGTTTTGGAAATTTAAAAAGCAAGGTGTCACCCCTTCCCAACTCCTGCTCTTACTCTAGGGTCTGTCATTGGCGTCTCCTCTCTTCCTCCAAGTCTGTCACTCCTAGGGGCTTTTCGGGCCACCAAAGGACAGCAGGGCATCCAGAATGCCATTCTCCACCCCCTCCTGAGAGCCAGTGGTCACAAGTCTGTGCTCTGTTCCATGCTGGTAGCATCCAGGTGGAAGTTAAAATAGAATGGATGGGGACCCAGTTATGTAAGAAGTCACCTCTGGTCTTCTGCTCTATCATGGGAGTTAAGACCAGCTGGGGTGCTTCTGGTATCAGTTTCCAGTACATAAGTCTCTGTGATCTGCAGCAGAAATTCTTACAACAGGGCCCTTAGAAGTCTTGTCCTCTGATGGGTTGCCAGAGGCAGAGTCCAAGGCATATCTGTACAGGCAGGCTTTTTTTTGCTGAGTTTCCCAGGGCCTAAAACTACCAGAACGAACAGGCTCCCCTGGGTTCTACAACTAGTAATCTACAACTGCCTTGGAGGGGAGGTGGGATTTGTTGCTGGCCAGCTACTTATCTGGTTCAATTGGCTCAGCTGGTCAGAGATGACCAAGGGTCACAGATTCAGTCCCTCGAGAGAACTCCTTTGTATGACATGCATGTGCTTGAAGTCCTGGCTATCTCTCTCCTGAATCCCCTTCGGGAATACAGCTCAAAAAACCTTACCTCCTACTAGGAAAACAAGCACGTGTCCTCCTCTTGGGACCAAGAATCTACAGATGCTTCAGTAAACTGTGCAAGCATGGAGTCACATGGTGCTTTATCTTAACAGCATTAATCAAGTTTTAGGTGGCTGATCTCAGACCATGAGATGACATAATATTAGCTCCCATTTATAGAACAATTAATGCTATGATATTAATGATACAGGGAACTGAATAATTATTTGAATGGAGGTATCTGTGAGCTGTGATGTAAGGAATCATGGACCCCAAATAAGAAATTTTGACTCTGTAGTGACTTGGGATTTGGTCAGGAAAACAAACAAACAAAAAACCAATACTAGTTTTGAATTAGGTTATGTATTAGCAGTATGTTGTGGTAGAAAGAGTAGCACCTCTGAAATAAGACTGATTTTTTATTCTACTATTTAATAGTTGAGTGCCCTTAAATGTTGTTTAATGTCTCTGAGCTCATTTCCTTATTTATAAAATGAGTATGATTGCATATTATGAGAATTGTTGGGGGATTGAAATTTTTTGTGTACGGAGAGAGAATTACACAGAGGGAGAGAATGCTGGAGGTGCACAGGAGGCACTCAATACACCATCGGTCCCAATGCCTGGCACAAAACAGGCAAGCAAATGTCTGTTCAATGAATGAAAAGCCTACTTCTTCAGCTGGGTCCACTCCTGAAAACACATCTCCCTTGCTTTAGGAGGTATGGATAGAATGACCCCTAAGACCCTAAGCCACAGAGAGAGATTGAGGACTATGCAGGCCCTGAAATTGTGTCCTGGATTTGAAAATGGTTGACCTAATAGTCTTCAACTCTAGCATACTCTGAGCGCTCCTCAGAAGGCTTTGTCTGGATGCCTAGACAGTGCTGGATCCTTAGACTGATAACGAAGGCAACATTCAGGTGACTCCCCTAGACTAGATTAAGCAATCCTCCGATACGTGCTCATGGCGCACTGCACTTCCTTCATTCATGCTGTATTGTAATTGCCTGCTCACTATCAGTCTTGTCAACTAGGCTGTGAATTCTACAACCATTTGGTCTATTCTATCCCTGCTATCTAAACAATAGCAGAGGCCCAATATATATTTTTAAATAGAAAAAGTCAAGCAACCTCCTTAAAACATCTACCATTGTTGGCCCTAAAATCAACCTAGAGTATCGATGCTCTCCACCCACCAGTCCTAAGAACTCTTGTACCCCCCTCCCACTCCTCCACCCCCTTTAATGGAAGCTGCTTCTCAAATTCAAACATTTAGGCCACTTAACTGTCTGCTCAGGGTGTTCCTCGTCATGTTTATCCACTCAAAAGTGTTCATAAAAAGGATCTCAACTATAAGGCCCAATGCTCAGGTACAGCAATGAATGTGCCATGGTCTCTCTTGGAGAAGCTCACAGAATAAAGTAAGCTCAGAAGAAGACTCTGATTTTCAGAGAAGCCACTAGTCATTAGCCAGAATGTTTCTGGATCACTGACTACACTCTATCATCAACTTGACCCTCTAAAAATTACAATGTGTCCTTAGGACCTGGTACATAGTGTACGCTCAATAAATACTTGTTGGATAAAGGAATGAATAGGGTATCATGGGAACTTCAGTGAGCTTTCATTGCTCTGGGTGGATATAGGAGAAATGCAGCAAATATTATCAAATCCTTTACTTGAATAAGTCTGGATTCGGTACCTACTGAGCTACTATCTCCACCCTGAGAATTTATTAACATTTCAGAAGTCCTTTGAGGTGCAGATGATGCCTCTCTGAAACATGTCCTATCCCCAAACTGAGGCAGGGCTTCCTGATAGCACAGCTAAGCATGTTCCACTTGCCTTCACTGTCTCACAGGTACCCTTCCAACCTGCAAACCACTGGTTCACTGGTCTTCCGACTGGGCGCCACAACATCCCCCTACTTCTGAACTTTCTTTGGCTCCAAAGAGTGCTCTGCAGGATGCTACCTTCTCCTTTACTAATAATCTCAGATTATTTTGTTTTAGACTTGTCTCCATGACTGCTTTGTATACTTGATGGAAGGGATCTTGTATTTATAAACTCCCACAGTTCTGGGCATATTAAAAAAAAAAAAACTAAACCAGTTGCTATAGAATTGATTTGACTCATGCTGACCCCATGTGTGTTAGAATAGAATTGCACTCTAGGGTTTTCAATCGCTGGGTTTTCAAAGTCTGTTACCTTCGAAAGTAAATCAGTAGGCCTTTCTTCTGTGGAGTCTCTGGGTGGATTCAGCTGCCAATCTTTGGGTTAGTGGCTGAGCTCTTAATCATTTGCACTACCCAGTAGGTATCTAATAAGTGTTCTATTTGTCGCCAATATGTAGCTCTGTCTCCAGGACAGCCATAATGTGGGACTGGGGAGAAGGGTAAGAACAACCCACATCTATTCTAGAGCTCTCCAGGCAGCTCTTTCTTTCTTTGTCTGCCCTGCATCTACTGCCTGGGACTGATGACAGTGCTCTCAAGGACTTCAGGAAATAAAACAACAAGGAAAAAGAAATCACGAAATACAATTTTTTAAACATGGTAGAATTAAATCCTTGGCTACAATCTTTCTTGTCCCTAAAAATAAAGGCATACATAAATGAAGACGATGGTTAAAAGCCTTACAGTATTTCACCCGTCCGCTGAAGTCTGTGGCAAGTAAGACCTCATTCAGTGTGCTAAAAGGTCAACTGGTTTGGTACCAATTCTGACTCAAAAAAGATTATTCTCCTGTGAGGTGAAGGGGAGGAAAGAAGGCGCGGCTAGGGGCCAGTGAGATTTTCCAGACACTCCACCCAGAGGGAAGTCCAAATGGGGCTGCTGTGGGTGGAACTCAAGGACATCTCCCATCAAACCCAAGCTTTCCCCCAGGGTTGCTATAACAGAAGTGCCCTTATCAGTCTTCTGGTTGAATTAAGCCCTTTCCAATGAAGACCCGCATCCAGGAGGCTGGGACAAATGGAAAGGTCAAGGCACACCAGGGCCTGGACCAGCTGTCCAGGAGCCACCAGCCCCGAGTGCCCCCAGGGGAGCCTGCTCTCAGCCAATGGGAGCCCGAGGGCCCGGGATGATGACCTGCGGGGCCAATCAGGCTCCAGGGCAGCCAGGGGGAGGAGATGGGAGGAGAGCCTCGGGCGATGGAGACGCAGCTCCAGCGACAGAAGTTTCTCACCTTGTAATGCGAGGGCCGCTAGCGCATCTCCTGCACCTCTCCAACTCCGCGCAGGAGGAGGGCCCCTAACTGCTTTCTCCCCACCCCCTCACCCTGCGCCCTGCAAGAGAGAGTAGACTGCTGAGAGCCCCTAGCACGGCGGGACTTCTTTTTATGTTGCATGCAGGGAGGAAGAGGGCGAGGACAACTTGGTGCCGGGGACTGACCTCTGGCCTGGCGGGTCTGGGCGGGGAGAACGGACGAGAAGTGGTCGGGTCTGGGGGACTCCATGCGGGGGCCATGGACAGAGCGGCGCTCCTGGGCCTGCCCCGCCTGTGCGCGCTGTGGGCAGCCTTGCTCGCGCTGTTCCCCTGCGGAGCCCAAGGAAACTGGATGTGAGTACGTGGACAGCAGGGGCGACGGGGTAGATGGCAAAGGGTGTCCAGCCCCCGGAGACTTTCACCTGAGCGGGGGAAGTGGAGCGGGGACCCTAGGGCTGCTGACCTGATTTTCGGGAGAACTCTGGGATTGGGAGGAGAGTAGGAAGTGCCTGACGCTGGGGACGGCTGTGTCCTACAGGTGGCTGGGCATCACCTCCTTCGGGGTTCCGGAGAAACTGGGCTGCGCCAACTTGCCACTGAGCAGCCGCCAGAAGGAGCTGTGCAAGAGGAAGCCGTACCTGCTGCCCAGCATCCGCGAGGGCGCGCGCCTGGGCATCCAGGAGTGCAGGAGCCAGTTCAGGCACGAGCGATGGAACTGCATGGTCGCCTCCACCGCCGCCCCGCCCGCCACCAGCCCAGTCTTCGGCTACGAGCTGAACAGCGGTGAGTCCTGGGACCCGTGGCGCTGTCGCTGGAAGGTGGGGGGTGGGATGGGGCGGAGAGTGAGGCAGGGTGGAGGGAAGCAGCGACAACTCCGCCAGTTCCTTTGAATAAAGCAAATAATTCTGGTACGATCCCATCGCTCTGTAAATCCCGAAAGAGGCCATTTAGTGCCCGGGAAAGGAGACCCGGTGTGCAAACGGTTAAGTGATCACCTGCTAACCAAAGGTTGGCGGTTCAAACCTACCTAGAGGTGCTGCGAGAGAAAGACCTGGCGATCTGCTCCGTAAAGATTATAGCCTAGAAAACCCTATGGGGCAGTTGTACTCTGTCACATAGGGTCGCTATGAGTCGAAATGGACTCCACGGCCCACAACAAGTGGATTGGAATTGCGGGGAGCAAGGGAGGTCAGACGCCAGAGCTGGGGTGCAGGTGCGGAGCGGGAGGGGGTGACACCCAGGTACAGAGCCAGACACTTGGGGCCTGTGACTCTTCCTCCTTCCCGCGGCGCCCCGCCGGAGTTGGGAAAAACTGACTCTCCCACCCCGCCGACCCCCCGGACCCTGTAGCGCACCCCTACGTGGGTGACCAGCTGGAGAAACATGAGGTCGGTGGCAGGGAAGATTGCTGCGGCATCTGCTTTGATTTAACCAGCTCGCTGCGCACCGAGCCCTGCACACGTAAGAGGCTTATTGCAGCGAAGCCCAATGTTTGTAGGCTCCTCGGACGGCCGGGTTGACGGAATAATGGTGACTTTAAGAGCGATTGTCCTGGACAACCCAAGGGCGGCTAACCTGGGCATGACTACTCTGGCTCTCTCCTCTCCTCGCTTTTTCCTCTATCCCTTCCCTCCTCCGTGCACACCCAGGGCGCGGGAAGCTGCAAGAAAACAAAGTTTCACCTCCACGTGCGTAGTGACTTGGTAAGGATACAGGTACAGAGAGGCAGGACTGTTGCATAAATATCAGCAGATTCAAAGAGTTTCAGGACTTGGGCGCTGAAAGGTTCGTTGTCGTTTTTCATGTTCATTTCCGTTCCCCCTCCACCTCTGACCCTTCCTCGCCAGGTCGCAACGCCCGGTCGCAACACACACCGTGCCAGAGCAGCGCATTTCCCCCGCTGCGTTTTGGCCGGCACACCCTTCCGAAGGAGCCCTGACCTCCTGCAGAGAAAAAAAAAAAAAGATGTGTTCTTCACAGTTGCTGAAATGCAGAGGCATCATCAGCTGTTGAAAAGGTTTATTGGGCAACGGGCGTGAAACTGTTTCTACTCCAATCTAAACATCTCTCAAGAGAAAAAAAATAGTCGCCTGCTGAGTCCCTTCTAGTCTTATTTTATTAATGTTTTAATGGAGCTTTACTTTTCAAAGATTTGAGCTCAAACTCTACTGTAGGTGTGCTAAATACAGCTTTTTCAATATCTAATACTTCTCATAATTCTTTTTTTTTGTTAGTGGCATTTTAATTATTTTACCTTTTATTGCCTTTAAGACTATATTAAATGTTTAACTGGTTTTATAAGTTTTATATTAACTTCAGTGATGGTTATTCACAATATCCTAAAGGAGGGCTAATTTTCAATGTGAAAGTAAACTGACATTTATTTACTAATTGTTTTGGACTTTGCTTCATTTTAATTTGCATTCTGACTTAGTTTTTGACAACAAAAAACACACTAAATTTTTCAGCGTGTGTTTTGTAAGAACACATTTAAAATTTCAAAAGAAATCTGGTTTCCTTTGGGTATTATATTACCATTTACAGTATCCATGCAAAAGATTTTACACTCAACAGGTATTTATTGAGCTGTTACTCTGTATTAAGCACTGAGCTAGGTGCTGGCATACGTTTCAGATTTTAAAAATAAACAGAAGATTTGAAAGCACGAGGACAATGTCATACATTAACAATGTCATTATTGCATGAATAATGACATTAAAATAATGTCATAATATGTGACAATCCCCCAAGTGGGATAGTGAAAATTAACATTGGTGTTTTTTAAAGGACTGGAATAGGAAATCTTCCTTTCTAATGTATACTCATTAAAGCATCCATTGTCAGCAATTGAGAAATTACTTCTCTGATAGGAGGACGAGTGGAAGGCTTTGTTCTGAGCATTCACAGGGTATAGTGGCTCTCTAATTTAGCAATGTATGTTTTATTCTAGGCACCAAGGAAACAGCATTCATTTATGCAGTGATGGCTGCTGGCCTAGTGCATTCTGTGACCAGGTCATGCAGTGCAGGCAACATGACAGAATGTTCCTGTGACACCACCTTGCAGAATGGCGGCTCGGCGAGCGAAGGCTGGCACTGGGGGGGCTGCTCTGATGATGTCCAGTATGGCATGTGGTTCAGCAGAAAGTTTCTCGATTTTCCCATCAGAAACACCACGGAAAAAGAAAGCAAAGGTCTGTTAGCAATGAACCTGCATAACAATGAAGCGGGAAGGCAGGTATGTATTAGAAAATGGAATAAAAATCCAGGGTCTTCAGGTAAATGTTTATCACCAGAATTACACTTCTGGATGAATCTGTCCAAATGGTTTAAAAACCAAACACTTGCAGTCTAAGAATTATATGTATTCCTTCTTGAGTGTGTATTTACCACATTGGTTTAGTTTCTCTATGTGATGTGAGTTGAATCTTGTGATAGAATGTTTGTATACCTTGTATACCTGAGATATTAATTATAAAATAATAGATGTAGAAGTGGCTGTTGGGTTATAGGATTCCCTCCCCTTAGCTGATTAGTGGCAGAGCCCAAATAGGATCGACAGTGTCTGCCTTTCTAATGGGACTGAATCAGATTTCATTTCCCCCAATTTGCGTATTGATTATGTTTTACATCTGTTTCTTAGTGAGCAGTGGTTCCCAGACATGGTATCAGTTTTGTCCATACTTTCTCTAGCAAATGCATCTTGAATGCACTAAGGGAATACACAGACCTTAACTAATATTTTTTGTAAAACAAAGTTTCTTCAATAGAGATAGTTATTTTATTATAAAGTACTGTAGCTTCACTGTAAAAAATTCATAAAATACAGATAAATGTAAAGAAGACAATAGATATAATTGTATATAGATGTTTTAAAACAGAGATATACTAAAAATTGGAGGGAGTCAAATTTGAATAACTACCACCTAATTAACCTCTTTTAAGTATTGTGATTTTTTTTTTACAGTAAGTTTTCCTAGAATAGAGTACATCTGTGACTTTATTGAACTTTCATTATATTAATGAATTTTGACACAGTACAATTTGGGTTCTACAACATAGTTGAATTACTTCGCTGAATTGAATTACATAGTTGAATTAACATAGTAACTTTTAAACAGGGCTTCCAAGTGGTTCTTTTGGGTTTGAATCCCTGCTGAGAATTTGCATCTCCATGCCAGATATACTGAATCAGAATCTACATTTTAACAAGATCCCCAGGTGATTCTTATGTATAATACACTTTGAGGCCCAGTGCTCTGCTAGTGGTTTTCAGAATTGGTCCCAAACCAGCAGCATTAGCATCATCCTTAAAACTGGTTCACAGCCCTGCTTTTAAAACAGTTAAACCTATGTTGTAGTAACCTATTTAGGACAGGAATATCAGCACATATTCTATGTTATTGTAAATATCCAATAAACCGCAAAGGTCCCAAAGTAGTCACTGCAAGCTGCCCAATTCTCCTGAAATAAAATAAGTTGCAGTATCTCTCAGGAATATTGAAAGTATGTGTTGCATTTGTTTTACATTTTTGGAAAGTAAATAAATGGAACTCATTCAGTATAGTTGCAAGTGCCAGCCAGTTTTCTTTACTCAAACTACTTTGCTTTTAGAGACAAAAACAGTTATCTCAGTAAATCTATCACCTTAACACTTCTATCAACTAAAAAATAGTGAAACAGAAAGTTAGTAAATAGGAGAGTTAGTAAGTAGCTATGTAAGATTTTCATATTTTTGTTTAGAAATTTTAATTTATTTTATCTCACTAAAAAGCAATGGCTCTTTTCCTTAAAGTTTTACTTAAAAAAAAAAAAATTAAATGAATGAGTTGTTGCTTCAATTTAAATACCCAATAAAGGACTTTTTATTATTTCTAACATATTTCTAAAGAGGTTAAATATAGTTAACATATGTTCTTTTAAAACTCTAGCTTTAAACTAGAGAAAAACATCAAAATATATCAAATTAACATATTTTAAAAACAAGAAATTGGATGAACGTTTACTATTTATACTTTAAGTCTTCCTTAGTCATTCTCTAAACAATTTTAGTAGAGATTTAAAATAAAATTAACCATAAAGCAAAACTCAGAAACTTATGCTATGACTAATTCTCTATAAATGAAGTCACCTCTGAAATTATGAAAATCCCTAAGGCATTCTAAAATGTATTTTTATTACTAATATTAGGCAACGATTTAGTTTTATTCTGTTTTGTGTGTTCTTTTCAAATTAGGTAGCAATGTTTGCCTCTGTAACCATTAACTTTAGTCGTAAACTATTATTTATATTCTAAATATATTAAAAGGGTATGCATCAATTTTAATCTACCTCTTGCTGGCAAAAACAATCTTCTCACGTTACCTAGGTTTTTGCTATTATTCTAATTATACAGAAAATAATTGAGCCTATGCATATATACACAATGTTAAGTAAATTTCAGAGTTTTCTGTACTGAAAGCTTTTTTTTTTAATTTTTTTGTTTCCCCCACATTATTCTAGATGGAACTTTAAAACGTTACCAAATATTTACCTGGATATATTTAGAGTACTACACTGGTGTTTTTGTTGGTCTTTTCTTATGAAGTATTACAATCAAAACATTTCTCTATTTTTCTTTCCATTGGTGGGGGAAAAAAATTAGGTTTCCAGGTTATTATCTAAAGTGGAAGAGCAATCAACTCAATTTTCAGTACTGGCAATTAGGATTTTAATCGAATAGGCATATTCTTCTGAGTAAAGTTCAAGGTCTGCATTCAATTGAGTTGTTGATTTTCCTAGTCTCAAAATCCCCAAACTCAAAATGTAGGAAAGCGTTCAGAGAAATGTGGGTACTGGCGCTTAGTAGTGCTATGGGCAGGAGAGATGATTTTCTAACCGCTGACCTTAAATACTCTAATCCCACTTGGTTTCTGACACCATTCCTAAAGTTATGACTCCAAGAATAATGTTGCTGAATGGTGATTGGCTAATGGAATGATGTGATGTCTTCCAGGGGCAGAACTGCTGGAAATAATGTGACTTGGAATATTTATGGGTATTTCTTTTGGTGTGCTTAAAATATTTCCATTCTTCCTATGTTCACCTCATAAACTTTCAAGTTTCCCGACCCCATAATTTGTTTTATGATGAATAACTCAAGACAGTGGGAAGGGCCCGACCCCGAATTTTCATTGACCTGTTTCAAGAATACTTCTAAGTAGTTGAACAACACATACATGCTTTGCTTCTCAGCAGGTTAAAATATATTTTCGGACAGAAAGGGACAAAATGGGTAAGAAGAATAGGAATTTGACATGCAAGCATCCAACCGTATGTTGCAGTTTTCATTAAAAACTTAAACAGATCATCTGATAGTTGACAAAATGAAATGTTAGTCAAGAAATGTTCCACCACCGCTTCCTGGCCATTTCTGTAAAGTTTGGATAAAGCAATGTCCTAGAAAAAAATTACCACCCAATGCAATACCTCTGAGTCAAAATTGCCGGACCCATCACTATTTAGACCAATTCCCAAGCAGTTTTCATTTTTACATAAAATATATTTTGTGTATCAAGGACTTCAGTTTTAATGATACATCCTTCTTATTTCACTGCATTCAAACTTTATCAAACCAAAACGTACACAAGGAGACCGGTAGATTAAATGCCATTCTCCTAATTGCTCTCCCATAGTTAAAAAAATTTCCACCAAAATGTGCACATCTGTTTGCAATAGTTAACAAAACATTCCTCTGTTGATATCGTTATAAACCTTAACAACTCAACTAGGGAAGAGAAAGGAATTTGCTCATAACCACACACAACTCATTCGGTTGCTATTCTCTCTTCCTGTTACCAGAAAATGGCTGTACCATCTCTGCAGTTCACAGTGGCTGTTTCACATTAATTAAGAGTGCTAGCTAGAAAGCTCCAGAATGTACTTTTTTTTTTGGAGTGTTCATGCAATTTCCTTAAATATACTTGTATTTTCCACTTTCATTTTTCTCTCTATACTAAAATTATCCTTCTGCACCTAAAGACTGTATATCATGTATCACCAACCTTCCTTATGTAAAACAAGTGTCTTAACCACACTGTTGATTTTTCTATAAAACTGGAATAATAGCAAGTACATGTTCATTAACCATCTACTATGTACAAGGCAAAAGGAGCCCTGGTGCTGCAATGGTTAAGTGCTCTGCTACTAACCAAAAGGTTGACAGTTTGAACCCACCAGCAACACCACGGAAGAAAAGACCTGTCCGTCTGCTCCCGTAAAGATTATAGCCTAGGAAACCCTATGAGGCAGTTCTACTCTGTCCTATAGGGTCACTATGAGTGAGAATCAACTCAATGGCGCACAACATGTGCAAGGCAGTTCTTCCTATTATAAAACTAAATCGAGTAAAACAATTTATGAATATGCTTTGCAAAGCACTAAGTTCTGTAGAGTTAAACTGTGTGTGTGTGTGTGTCCGTGTGTGTGTGTCCACCCTTGAACTCTACATTTCATCAAATTCTCTTGGTGGTGATTACATTATGGTGATTACTTTGGTTTCTTTTAGTCCCTATTTGTACAAGTTCCTTCCGTAGGGTATTATGAGGGCATAATCATTCAAACTGCATGTCAATTTTACTGGGATTCTTGTTGAAGTTCATTTCTCTCTCTATCTTTGAATATATGTAAGATAAAAATACTATTTCTTTTCTTAGACTCATTGTTAAGGACACTTATAATTCAAAGGTAGTGGAATAAAACTTTTTTAAGAAAATGTCATCTCTGAAAATTTATAGTTAACTACAAATACTTAAAAGAGCTAGATTGCTATGTTAGGAAAATCCTTCCCAAATTACAATACAAATTCAGAAGATGATATAACTGAATTTAAAAAAATCAGTCTTTTTTTAACCTTCAAACCTGTGAGGCAGTGTATCACTCTGTGGACCCACACTGTGATGGACAAAGCTAAGGCTGAGGAATTGGAGGAGAGCCAGGCTGGCTCAAGCTCTCCCAACACCATTGACCTCCTAGCGGTGACTCTTTGGTTTAAGAGCCCATTACCCACTGCCGTGGAGTTGATTCCGATTCATAGAAACCCTATAGGACAGGGTAGAACCGCCCCATAGGGTTTCCAGGGAGTGGCTGGTGGATTCAGACTGGTAATCTTTTGGTTAGCAGCCAAGCTCCTAACCACTGTGCCACCAGGGATCCAGTTGGTTTAAGAAGGTGATTTTTATTACTTCCTCCAGATTCAGGTTAGCGATAAAGGACGACTTACAACTGTTCGAGTGAGCTGGATTAATCATTCAATAAGTATTTGGTGAGCACCCACTCTGTCCTCCACTCTTTACAAATTGGCAACACCTTACAGGGTGTCTAACCTGACCAATAAAAGAAAACGTCGGCTCTTCAGCCATAGGAAGGGGCAGCTTTAAATCACAAAGTGATGATTGTTAGGAGTGTTGATTACGTTTAAACATATAAACATGCATTCTTAGATCTTTGGCTTTCTTAGGACAATTTGTTTTATTACTTAGCAGTGATTGAGCTCTTTTTTTGTCAAGCACGTATAATCTGAACAAAGTTAGGCAGATTGCATTAATCTGAACATTTATTTGCCTGGAGAATTTTTAAAGGATTGAGGGCTTTGCGAATATGAGATGTCATAAATTTAACCAGATAAGCCTGTATGCCATGCTTTATAAATTGTTTTGGTATTATTGAAGGGTACCTTTTGCCCAGGTTAGTAAGAAATAGACATATCTATTAGCTTTTCAGTTTTGTGAATTCAAAAAGAGCATATGTGCCATCTTCTATAAAGGACAGGATTTAAATATTCTGTTCATTATTTTAAACACTAATAGGAAGTAACAAGCATTGCACAAATCAATACCATATGCTCTCATTTGAGGTTGTAAGTATATTATAAATTGTTTAAAATATTGTCTCATTCGATAGTTCAGAAAACTTTGTTAATTTGTTAGAAAATGTAACATTCCGCAAACATGTCAGTGTTAGGTTTTGCACAAAAAAATCCCTGTCATTTTATACTTTTGATAAGAACTGTAAGTGGAATTTAAGCTGTGAGCTTTTCCCTTTCTTTGGTGAGATTAAACACATGATTTCCAAGTTATTGAATGGAAGGATCTATTTTTCATTTTACCCAGCATGTTGGCAGAAGGTCAACTCTACAGCTAGTCCTGATGATTTATTAATCTGCTCTGCCATCCTCTGGGAATTGAAGGAAACTATGCTGGCTAGCCTGGTACATAAGAGATGAGAGCCCTGAACCTTTTGAAATCTCTATATTGTTTTCACACTGTTAGCCCCATTTGAAATGTTATCTCAACTCTTACTGTACTTTCTTTTTCAGAGCAAGGGGGCATTTATTTAAATCTTGATGGATGCCATGCAGTGGGCTATTACAAATATCTGTAATCTAATCTAATTAATTCTTCCGTCTGGGTAAACTAAACTCAGCATTTAGAATTGAAAAGTTACATATATATCATCCCCTTTCTATGTTAGGATGGTGCTACTGATCAACAAGGATAGGACATATGTTTTGAATTTATTTTTGGGAAGAGGAGAAGAATTTGCTATGAGCAAACACACTTCCCAGTCTTTTCTCCTTTTGACCAATTTAAGATGGTTAGTCAGGGTTTCTCATGTGCTTTCTGACCTGGGGACCATGAGTTCCACACACACCCGTGAATGTACTGACTTATTTACAGCGCTCAAACCGAGAACTCTCGATTCAATCAGTAGGTTTCATCCCAAGCTGTTCATTTGAATCATGTGAGCAGTTTGTTTTGTTTTGTTTTGTTAAAATACCATTGCCTGGACCCGACCAATCAAATCAGAATCTCAGGTGTTCAAGCCTTGTTTAATTTGCAAAGTTCCACAGGTGTTTCTTTATAGGTATAAGTTCAAAACTCTCATTTTTATACAGGAGAAAACAGACCCAGAAAGTTAAGTGATTGGGTTGGCTGTACTTCTGTTGTAGCATCAAACACTTGGTGAGAGCGGAGGACTGCTGTATCAGTGGAGCCTTGGGGTGCAGTTGTTAAGAGCTTGGCTGCTAACCAAAAGGTCAGGAGTTCAAATCCACTAGCCGCTCCTTGGAAACCCTATGGGGCAGTTCTACTCTGTCCTGTAGCGTCGCAGTGAGTAGGAATCAACTCGACAGCAACGGGTTTGGTTTGTATTTTTGGCTCTGTCAGTGCTTCTCAGACTTTACTGTATAGACCAGTCACCTGGCGATCCTGTTAAAATGCAGCATTTGATTCTGGAGCTCTGGAGAGGGGTCCAAGAGCCTGCATTTCTAACAAGTGACACTTGTTCTGCTGGTCCATGGACCACACTCTGAGTAGGAAGGCGCTAATGGTAAGCAACATAGGGCATAAGCGTCCTCCCACATCTAAAATTAGACAGGGAATTAGGAATAAAAGCAGTCTCCTTTTGTTATTTCAGATAATCTCTGATAAAAATGTCAGCCTGGTTTACACTCACCAGAGCCCTGGAGGCGCAGTGGTTAACAGCTTTGCTGCTAACCAAAAGGTCAGCAGTTGGAATTCACCAGCCGCTCCTTGGAAACCCTATGGGGCAGTTCTACTCTGTCCTATAGGGTTACTATGAGTAGGAACCGACTCGATGGCAATGGGTTTTTTCAGGTTTACACTCTGCGGCACTTGGAAAGGTTTGCTCCACAGGGTCAAAAGAAGCACAAAACACTTGAACCCAAGCACCCTTAAAGATGCTTTAAAGAAAACAAACAAACAGGAAAAAAAACCCTATAAGTTCAAAAAGAAGCCCTGATGGCACAGTCGTTGAGTGCTCAGCTGCTAACTGAAAGGTCAATGGTTGGAACCCACCAGCCACTCCGCAGGAGAAAGATGTGGCAGTCTGCCTCTATAAAGATTAACAGCTTTGGAAAACCTATGGGCAGTTCTACTCTGTCCTGTAGGGTCACTATGAGTCAGAATCAACTCAATGGTAATGGTTTTTTTTTATGGGTATAAGTTCAAAACTCTCATTTTTATACAGGAGAAAACAGACCCAGAAAGTTGACTGGGTTGGCTGTACTTCTGTTGTAGCATGAAACACTTGGTGAATGATGTTTGAACACAATTACTGTTGGTTTCAGGCTGTAGCCAAGTTGATGTCCGTAGACTGCCGCTGCCATGGGGTTTCGGGCTCCTGTGCCGTGAGAACCTGCTGGAAAACCATGTCTTCTTTCGAGAAGATCGGTCATTTGTTGAAGGATAAATACGAAAACAGTATCCAAATCTCAGACAAAATAAAGAGGAAAATGCACAGGAAAGAAAAAGATCAGAGAAAAATACCGATCCGCAAGGATGATCTGCTCTACATTAATAAGTCTCCCAACTACTGTGTGGAGAATAAGAAACTGGGGATCCCAGGGACACAAGGCAGAGAATGCAACCGCACATCCGAGGGCGCCGATGGGTGCAACCTCCTGTGCTGTGGCCGGGGCTACAACACTCACGTGGTGCGGCACGTGGAGAGGTGCGAGTGTAAGTTTATCTGGTGCTGCTATGTCCGCTGCAGGAGGTGTGAAAGCATGACTGACGTCCACACCTGCAAGTAACCACACGGTCCAGCCTTGGGCAAGACTCCCCAGTGACACACAACTAGAGCACAACCCACATACCCGGTTTCCCAGCTGTGCAGGGCTGGTGACGTTGACTCCTGTGCTGGGATTCCCAGATCCTTGGGCTTTTCAGAGTTTCCTTTACCTGAGCAACATCCAATCACATAGGAAGCATGTGACTTTCTTGGTATTCCAAAGTTAAAAAGGTTTGGCTTCATCCTCGACTGTGGACTCAGTAATGCTCACTGAATATTAGACATTTTTAAAAGACACCTCTTATAGCAGCAAGGGGTGTACACATGAATCTCATTTACTCTCTCAGTATTTTAGATGGAGAAATCATCCTAAGTATTGGTGCAAAGAAACAGAAGGTGTTGAAAAGTTAACAGAAGCGGTCCTTACTTGCCCTTTCCTGAACTTCAAAAGTAGTTTAAAGGAATTTTCATAAATGACACAATATCCCTGAAAAATGTTTTTGAGAGATGTTTAGTGACAAAAGGAAAGAAACAAAAGGTGAAAAACAAAATGTGTAATTTGGTTTTTAAGTGCCCTTTAAACAGCAGAAGTTACCTAGAACAACTCCAGCAAAGTGTATAGCAGTCCTTGATTTGGGGATTTACAGTTTAATCATAGACCAATTTGCACTGTTAAAAACCCAGCTCTGAGATACTGGGGGATGGAGGGATCCTAAAACATGTGGGAAAAAAATGACATTTAAAGATAAAAATTTAAAGGGCTCTATAAGTATTGTAAGGAAAAAGCACCCTTTAAATGTTCAAAGACAGCATTTTGTAAAGTATTTTGCTAAAAAAAAAGTTTTATATTTTGTTAATACAGTATTTAAATTATGGAATATATTAAAACTTAAAACATTTATTGCCAAAGGCCAAGAGCTAAAGCAGTAAGATTATCTCTGAAATAAGATTAGCTTGTTGTTTTTTTCATACTATTAACTGACTTTTTTTACATTGAAAAAGAATTAATTAATTGAGTAGCTATATGGATGTGTATTTCTTGCCACAATGACAGCTTTCTATGTTACAGATTAAAATATGTTGCGAAATTTTGAGAACTGTGTTATTTCAGCAGTCAGATTAACTGGATTCTCTTTTCACATTAGTTATGCTTAACTTGTAAGGTTATTATAATAAATAATACAGTAAAGGTCTTAACTAGAAAAAAAGAATCTAAAGCAGAATAACAATTTGTGGATTTGATATCCTGGATATTTATTATATTATATGTAATGCTGCATTTCCATTTGAATGTTGAATGGTTTTTCTTGTCTTAATATTCATGCATGCATATTCATTATATTTTACAAGGTTCCTGGTGAAAATTATAGGGCTGTATTTAAGGCTATATTTTAATATAAATGCTTATGTTTTTTAGGAATGGTTAAATATTTAATTATTATATAAAAAATAGATTAGACAAAGAAAGAATATCCTTTGTCATATGAATAAGCTAAAAAAATGTTCCCCTGTCTCCAGGTTCCATTCTTTTTCTTTCAATTTTATTTACCAAGGCAGAGCAATAATTTGTTTAAAAAAAAAAGCAAACTCAAGAAAAGTATCTCAGGTCTAGTATTAAAATCAAGGCCAAACATTTAACTGTGACTCTTGCAATTCAACAAAATTATTATTTACTAAATCAGAGACTCTGAAATGGCAAATGAGCAAATACAGTGCCTATTTAAAAGGGTGGTTTTCCATTATTTTGCATACGCCGAAAAGAATAACCAGAAAAATAGTCACATGACTTTTTTGCAAAGTAAATCTACTTTATTTGTATTGAAAATTAAAAAACCAAACCCACTGCTGCAAATCAATTCCAACTCACAGCGACCCTATAGGGTTTTCAAGGCTGTAAATCTTTACGGAAGCAGACTACCACATCTTTCTCCCATGGAGCAGCTGGTGGGTTTGAACAGCTAACCTTCTGGTTAGCAACCAAATGTTTTAACCATTGCACCACCAGGGCTCCCTGTATTGAAAATAAGCCCCTTCTTTTTTTTAAAGAGGAAGACTGCAGTTCTATTTACTAATTTCTTCTATTAAGGAGAAAACTTTTCGTAACTGCCTTACTGACCAGCAGCTCTGAGCATCAGGCTGTCTCTAATTCACAAATATCTGATTACTATTCAGCCATTTGTTAAAAATGGTGATACCAATTCAGGCTCTCCTCTTTGGGATGGATGCCCGAGCAGAACTCCTAACCTCCAAGCTGTCTCTTTGTGTTCTTCTTTCCTTTCCCATGTCTGGCATTACCATGGAAGCCATCTTTGAATTTCTCCTGTCTGTCTTACGGTGGGCAGCCTGGCCTTGGCCCATTCCTTTCCCACTCCTCATCGTGGTACTCCTGGTAATACAAGTTCTGGGGTCCGAAGGCCCCTATCCAGTCTAAGCTATTTTGCCTGCATTAGCTAGGGCTCTAACTGGTTACAAGAACAGAAAACCCACCTCAGACTGTTTAAACATAAAAAGAAATGTATTGACTCAATGGAGTCCCTGGATGGTGCAAACAGTTAATATGCTCTGCTGCTAACCAAAAGGTTGGTGGTTTGAATCACTCCCTCAGAGGCACCTAGGAAGAAAGGCCTGATGAGCTACTTCTAAAAAATCAGCCACTGAAAACTCTGTAGAGCACAGTTCTGCTCTGACACATGGGATTGCCAGGAGTCTGAGTCAACCAGATGGCAACTACTATTGACTCATAACTAAAAAAGTTCAGAGTTGTGTCTGCTTGAGTGAAATTTGATTCATAAGCTCAAACCACATCCCTAGGGCTCAGGTCGCTTTCTCTAGGCTGGCTCCCGTGGGTTGTCTTTAACTTCAGGCTGCACATGGCGCTGCACCACATTCCAAACCCCCAAGCCACACACAGCAGCTCCATTTTCTCTCCTTATCTTAGCAGCATGGCTGCCTCATTTCCGGACCTTACATTCTTCTACCACACATACTATGGAAAATGAGAGGTCCTTTCTCTCCCAGAGGGCCCAGCAAATGTCATCTGAGTCTCACTGGCTCTGATTGGTTAATGTGCCCATCTCTGAACCAATCACAATGATTATTGGGAGTTGGTAGTAAGGGGTAGATATACTGATTGGCTTAAGGCCATCAAGGCCCATGGCTGGAACTGGCAGTGAGGTTCATTCCCACTAAAAGCACACAGCTAGAGTAGGGAGGGGGCAAGCCCCTAGAGGACCCCCAGGGTATTATCTTACCATAAAAAGGTGCCCAGATGCTGGGAGCAAATACATCAGGTGTCCCCAGTTCTAGTGACACGTTTTAGGAGACAGAGCTTCTGGCATCACATGAGTTTAGAACTCACAGCCAGATGTTCTAGTGAATTGTTTTTCAACTTAAGATTTCAACTTTTTTTGTAAATTTGGAACGGCTTAGTAGAGGCAATGGTAAAAGGCAATGAATGATGATTCATCTTGAAATGAAATCAAGGAAAACATCTTAAATGGCATTATCTATAACCTCTGCATAAGGAAGCTGACTAATTAAGCATTTCCCTGATAGTAGTACTTTATACAACATGAACGTGTAAAATATTCTTTAGAATATAAACAACTACATTGTTTCCTTATTCCCGATCTCTGGCTAGCTGATGGTTGTTCAGTTTTTTTTTGTTTTTGTTTTTTTTGTTTTTTAGCAAACTGTGATACTTAGTATTACTAAGAATGACACCCATTGCCCTCAAGTCAATTCCGACTCATAGCGACCCTATAGGACGGAATGGAGCTAGCTGCCCAGAGGGTTTCCAAGGCTGTAATCTTTATGGAAGCAGACTGCCACATCTTTCTCCTACATAGCTGCTTGTGGGTTCAAACTGCCGACCTTTTGGTTAGCAGCCAAGTGCCTAGCCACTGTGTGACCAGGGCTCCCTGAGAATGACAATGGGATTTAATTACATAAGTTAGATGCCACGACACCCTATATGCTTTTGCAGCTTTGTGGCCATGTGATATTCACAGTAGATATTTTAGAAACACTTTAATTTTCTGAAGTGCTGTCAGTGCTGGTTATGATGTTTGTTTTTACTTAGTTTAAAATGTAGGACCAGGAAAGCTTCCCATCAAAATATTTATTTGTAGGCAACATGGTGAATTGCTGATACGTTTATGCATCACCTCCCAGAAGCCATCAAAGACCCAGGAATTTAACCAACCATTTGGAGCCAGTTAGTTATCCAGAGCACTATGATCCAGTTAGCCGACTTGAGGGCAGAAAAATTCAAACCATGTCTCCAGGAACCAGAGTACTCCTCAAGACAAGCCCTTTTTAAGGAAAGCTGGCCAAAATGGCTTGATTTTTTCCCTTTTTTTCAATTTTAGTTTCACCATAGATCAGATGTAATAAGTCATAACATTTTCTGGCACAGGGTGATGAGGTAAACTGAGGCCAAATTATGTGGCCTCACATGAAAGGGGGCCTAGTAGTACACCACGGACTCCTTTCCTCTGAAAGAGAAAATTATAATAATATTAGTTAGCACTTAGCATTTACTATGTGCCAGGCATTGTTCTAAGTAAATTATGTGTATTAAGCAATTTAATCCTCACAACAACCTCATAAGTAGGTGCCATTATCACTGCCGTACTTTTTCAGTAGAGGCAACCCAGACACAGTAACAAATCAAGTAACTAGCTCAAGGTCACACAGAGCAGACTGGCTTCAGTCTCTATTGTGAAGAGACCTGATGATCTGCTCCTGTAAAGATTAAACCAAAGAATAAACCCATTGCCAGTGAAGTCAATTCTTACTCATAGTGACCCTATAGGACAGAATAGAACTACCCCATAGGGTTTCTAAGGCTGTAATCTTTACGGAAGCAGACTGCCACATCTTTCTCCTGCAGAGTAGCTGGTGGGTTTGAACCGCCAACCTCTTGGTTAGCAGCCTAATGCTTAACCACTGCACCACCAGGGCTCCTTCTGCAAAGGTTACAGCCTAGGAAACCCTATGGGGCAACTCTACTCTGTCACGTGACGTGGCTATGAGTCGGAATCGACTCCATGGCACACAACAACATCGTGCCTCTCACCAAAACTCAAAAACCAAACCCACTGCCGGGTTCAAACCGCCGACCTTTCAGTTAGCCGTCAAGCACTTTAACCACTGTGCCATCAGGGCTCCTTTGTGCCTCTTAAAGCATCAAAATTATCAGTATATTGAATTACGATGTACCACTTAAAGAGATTGGGGGATTTGTCAATATTATGAAAATTACAGGATGTTCCTTCATGGTTTGGTTATATAAACTTGGTTGAGGAGCAGGGATAGAAAATTTGGAGTATAATTCATGCCTCTTTGATTTCTAAGCTCAGAGTGATTTAAGCTGACTTCTCTTTTAGCTCCCAATGGGCCTGACAGTTGGATTATGCAAGAGTCGGACAATTATTCCAAAAGGAAATGACTAGGGGTAAAGATCAAACTAATTTAGTGTGACGTTAAGTAAATACTTACATCCTTTGTATTGTTGTGCTTACAGCCAACTGTTACGTAAGGTGCTATTTTTAATAGATGGATGAAATTTATCCTGTGTAATGGTTTATATTTACAGCCTAAGAAAAACCACACAAGGTGGTTTTCACCAGATTAAAACCTTTTGAAACAACACCATGCTAGAAAAAGTAGCCTCTCCAAAGTGGTTGTAGAGAAAAGTAGTAAAAAATGTAGACCAAGTCAACACAAACTGAAGTTTCACATGGGACTTTTAAACTTACAAAGTGAAAGCATCAGATTCATGCAGAAAAGGTGGCACACGCACAGCTGTTTCCCACTGTAACGGCCATTCTGAATGCTGGGAGGGACTCACCTCCACGGAGGCCAAGCCTCCTTCCCTTCTGCATTTTAGTAACAACAAATACCTGTGATCATGGCGCCTATCCACCTGGCCCTGTTCAGCCAAGAAAAAGGAAGGGCAGCCCCTCGCTGCCTCTACTTACCCAATGTTAAAAGGGGGGATATCACTAAATTTAATTTCACATTTAAATACATAATAAACCCTTTATAAGCCAAAAGAAAAACAAAAACCAAACCCACTGCTGCCGAGTTGATTCCGATTCAGCCACCCGATAGGACGGAGTAGGATTGCCCCATCGGGTTTCCAAGCCTGTAAATCTTTATGGAAGCAGACTGCCACATCTGGCACAGTGGTTCAGCACTCACCTGCTAACCGAAAGGTCAGTAGTTCCAACCTACCAGCCGCTGCACAGGAGAAAGAGTATAAACCAAGGGAAGGTGTAAATATATGAAATGCAAATTGATCGAGTTGCTACCGAACCCAGGAAAGTAGATCCTTGTCCCTCGCACTCTGACTTGCCAATGATCTGGACACTGGTCTTTTGAGAAAGAGAAAGTAACTTCATGGCACTGCAAGGAGCAGGGAGAAAGTTCCTCAAATCCGACTCCCACAGCTAAATGGAAGCAAGGTTTATATGCGATTTGGACAGCAAGATGGCCGCTGCGCAGATGTACTGGGGAGAAAAATTCTAGAAGGTGGCCAGGAAATAAGAGGTGATGTGATTCTTGTCGGACCTCTCGCTTCGGAATAGGGTCCAGGTGATGATTTTCATTCTCATTCATTCTTCCTGTTGCTGCGTCCTCTGTTGAGGTCAATTAACTGTCACAGGTGGCCCTTCTGAGCATGTGGGGCAGGCCAGATCTGGCTTGGGCTAGTTTAGGGACTCATGGAAATTTATTGACATTCGTAGGGTCAGGTTACAAAGTCACCTCTTTATTCCTAATACATAATCTCTATTTTTCACTGGAGTCCCTGGGTGGTGAAACGGTTAAAACACTTGGCTGCTAACCGAAAGGTTGGAGGGTCCAGTCTACCCAGAAGCACCTCAGAAGAAAGGCCCGGTGAAAAATCAGCCGTTGAAAACCCTATGGAGCACAGTTCTGCTCTGACACACATGGGATCACCATGAGTTGGGGTCGACTTGACGAAGGCAACTTTCTTTTTTCATTAGTACTATCCGTTGTTATGAGTCGGAATCAACCCAATGACGGCAATGGGTTTGCTTTTTTTTTTTAAATCCAATGTAATTGCTTCATCTGAAACACCCTGGCAAACAGGTTATTTAACTTTTGCTGTTCAAAAAGGCTCTATGCAAGAGGGCAACATGTGTAGTAACTGTTAGATGAGAAACTATTTTGTTCTGTTGGCCTTCATCTTGGGTGAGAATAGCAGCACAATTGGAAGAGCGTAGTCGATGTCGCTGAACTGTGCATGTAGAAATTTTTGAAATGGTGTATCTTTGGCTATGTGTATTTTCACCAAAAAAAAAGGTTGAGAGGTTAGAGGGTTGACGTGTTGTGGGGTTGTTCACCAATGTCATGGAACAATATGTGTACTGCTGTTTCATGGGAAACTATTTGTTCTGTGGGCCTTCACCTGAAGTACAATAGAAAAAAAAAAGGCTCTATGCAAGGCAAGAAACAGCATTTGGAACAATAGCAAATTGAGAAAAATAAAGAAGTCAAGGTGATAAATCCTAACATGCCCCCTATTTAATGGGTACAGGATAAATAATTTTACAAACTGAGAAGACGAATGTCACTAATGAGTGTGGAAATTCTTTTCTCTGCCAGTATGAACACCTTTTCCCCCCAAAATGTCCTATTTACCATTTCTTAAGAAATTAGTTTCAAAATTTCAATTGCTACAGCTCCTGTAAGTATGCCTATATCCAGCACACCCAGTGCTGTGGAAACCTACTCCAAACAGAGTACTTCCAAGGTAGATGTACTGTCTCCTTTCTAGGTGTTAAAAGTTCCATAAGGATTCAACCTCATTCTGGGATCATAAGTTTCTGGTTTCTATAGGAGTCAAGGAGCAAGCTCATTCTCTGACCTTAAACCGCAAGTCCTTTCCCTAAGGAGAACAAAATTTACAGGATGTTCCTTCACGGTTTGGTTATATAAACTTGGTTGAGGAGCATGCTCCATCCAGTCCACCCAGCTGCACCTCAGAAGAAAGGCCTGATGATCTACTTCCAAAAAAACCAGAAAGCCATCTAGGGCAGGCTGCCCTATGGATCACAATGGTCCGACCCACATCCAATTATGGGGATGGTACAGGACCTGGCAGTGTTTCATTCCGTTGTGCGGGGGGTTGCCTTGAGTCAGGGGACAACTACACCGCAGCTAACAAGAAGCCCTCCTCAGGTAAGGGGCACACAGGACTTAGGGCTGAGTGCTCATTTCTCATGCCTCAGGAAATTGTCACCAACTGGCCCTCCCGCTGCTTCCATCCAGGGCCTACCCCCTGAGAACCTCATCTTTCAGGGACTGCTGCTTTCTCCACCAACTATCCACATTTCTAGCTATAGCTCCCAGCATGATTTGCTTTTAAATCTCTCCTCTGCTCAGAGGCTCGGACCCCCAAGACATTCTCCTTGATGTTTATTTCTGGTCAAAGTTCATTTGGCCAAGGCCAAAGAAAGCACCCAGTGCTTCTCCAGTTGGGTCCCCAATATACAGGGCTATACAGAAGTTAACTCTTGGAGTTGAAATTTAAAGAAAGATTTCTATATTAAAATAAAGCTGTGATAGAATAAAATGCAAAATTCACATGACCTTTTAAGGTAAAATGTTTTGAAGAAAACTCAGGCTTACACTGGGCTCTCAGCTAAAACCTAAGATTCCCAGGAATGAGCAATTACTCTTCTCTGCTTTGAGGGATATACCTGTGGATAACACAGCCTGGTAATAACAGGCTGATTTCCAAATTGGTCCCTTTCTTCTACTGATGATACAGAAGGCTAAGACGTGGCAGGGATGCCATTGGCACCAGTATTGAGCTTGTCTACCCCATCAGGTCACATGTAAACAGTAGAAACGGCATCTTAGACAAGCAGCTCTGTATCTGAATGCAGACTCCACAGCTGAAAATGTGTTTGGAAGTCATATGTATACCTTTCGAATAATGGATTTACCAAGGAAAGTTCTGATTCCAGAAAGTAATGTTTTGAAATTCCTATGCAAGAGATTCCTCCCTTGCCTGGGCAATTCTGCTGCATGGACCCTCTGAGCAAGAAGCAAATGCTAGTGAGAAAGGGGTGCTGAGTCCCAGCATCTTCCCCACCTGTCATGGCCCCAGCCCAACCTGCAGCAGTTGAGGTGGGTGGTCAGGAAGTCACTAGGAGCAGGGGATAAGATTGGGGTTGACGACCATGTGTGTCACAGAAGAACTGTGCTCCACAGGGTTTTCAATGGCTGATTTTTCAAAGTAGATAGATGCCTCTGGGTGGACTCGGCCGTCAACCTCAGTTAGCAGCTCAGCGTGTTAACCATTTGCACTACCCAGGACTCCTTGCTCTATCTAACCCTTGATTTAACAGGAACCTCTAGAAAGAGGGAGAAAGGCCCAATATAACTGAATGAGGTTTGAGGGGAATGGAGATTATCTAGGTATAAGCGTGACAATAAAAAAAAACAAGTATATGGCAGAAAAGTCGTCCTGCCAAGTCATCCTGGGAAGAGACAGGAAAAGAACCCTTTCTGACTAATGCTTTAGAAAAGGTAAATCTGTTAACTTATTCTGCAACTTTTAATTTACCTGTACTTATCACTGTCCAAGACCTAATTAAGGAGGTTAAGTGGCAAATCTTCTCCCTAATCAACACAAGCAATTTTTCCTTTCATATCCATTCTTTCATTTAAAAAGGGGGAAGATTAACAGACCTGAAAGAAACTATCAAATCTTTTTTTTTTTTGTCAAAATATTTATAATTCGTGTAAACTTTTAAAGTATAAAGTGCAATACAGGCTGCGCAGATTGGGCTTCATCTGGTGTAAAATTTATAAAATATTAGCTGATTCATTTAAAACCAAATACAGTAAAACAGGAAAAAAAAACAGTGATAAATTTCACTTTGATCACATTAAAGGCAGGAATACAAAACTCAGGCTCAATTTTTCTTTTAATTTCCCAAATATTACTTCCCTCTTTCTTTTGCTCAATTTCAATCAGCATATTATAACACACTTGTTCTGGGAAAGCATTTGTGACTACAAATGAAAAATACCATTTTAAAAACCATTTACAATACCAGAATGTCAATGCCAAATTTCTGATTTTAATAAAATTTTTAACCTGAAATGAGCAATTGCTTCTTACGATTTTTAAAGAGATCTGTAAATGAAATGTAGTAAAATTATTGCTTCCAAAAAGTTGGCACAATCTATACAAGATAGATTTGAGACAAAATCAAACTGCACCAAAGCAGTTACATAACCAACTTTATCCCTTCTTTTGACATTTTATAGACCTTCACAAAAAAGCCATCATTTTACAGTCTTTATATTGAAAGTGATGTCCCACCACCTTGATACTTAAATTCTATACGCTTTAAGATATACCCAGAGGATAATGGTACATTGAAACATACGAATGACTAAGCAGTACAATAAATGCTTGACAAACATTGACACTGATGTAAAATCCCGTAGGTATATTACTTTGCCAGATAGTACAAAAAATTCACAATGCAAAACCAAGAGTATTTATTTTCATTACTTAAAAAAAAAAAAAAAGAAACATTTCATAATCCCTGGAGTTATAAAATAACTGCTCCTTTAATTTACAGAACTGAGGGGAGTACTTCAAATGTCAAAATATACATGCTGAATGTGATTTCGCATACAAGCACCAAAAATCTGAAAAGTTTACAAAAATTGTTTAAATGTGTAAGGTGCATTTATTCATGAATTACATTCAGTTTGAGGGAAAACAGTACCTCAAAGTTCATTAATACTTACGAAATATCTGAATAGTTTGAAACTTGGCTCACAGCAAAATAACAAATACTGCTTTTAGTTTTTGTACACAAGTCATCTAAAATTTAGATTTACAATTTAAGCGCTGCCGTATTTTGTGAGTGGCAGTTTGATTATTAAATTTGTTTATGTTACAGTTTAGGATACTTCATACACAATACTTAATGCCCTAAAAAATAATTTAAAAAAAAAACAACTTTAATCATTTAGTGACATCTGAATTTAACAAAAAAGTTGGCTCTCTTGTCTAAATTTTTATGTATAATTGGGTATAAAGTCATTTTGGGTCAAATAAAATTATTTTTTTAATGTTATTATCTGTCCTGTCAGTAACAAGGACCTTTCTAAATATGCCAGTACAGCTTCAGTAAAAAATTGCTATTATGAAGTTAGATGAAGTAAATACAGAATTAATTTCTTGGTTTACAAATCAAAATTATCGTGATATTCAAGCATGACCTGTTTCCAAATCACTCTGTCAACGCTGTAGCAAACAGGGAAACGCATGCCAGCACTGCCCTGACTAGGCTAACTTAGCCGTCCGGAACGACCTGGTAAGGTTGGGCAGGGACTTGGCCTGGTTTGCCAGTTCTGTGGAGTCGCCACCACTAGCCTCCCTCTAAGTGGCTAGCACAAAGCTGTTCACGTTAACACAAAATCCAGCAAGCCGTAGTTTTGAAAGCCATCTACATTTATACATTCACATTTTACTGTGTACATAAAAAAAGAATTTTCTTGTGCTTTAAGTGTTCACATCAAACATTTCTAGGTTTCTAAAGATGAGGAGTAGCAGAAAGACCAAGAAAAGAGGTTCATGGGGAGTCAGACTGTAAAGCAACATCACACACATGACTAGCCAAATATCTTTTTAATTTAAAAGATTATATATATACACATATATAAAAGAAAATACATTTCCTCCCTAAAATCCGTGTTATTCCATGATAGATTTTCATAGCAACCAGTATATAGATCAATATATCTTTCACCATCTGTTCAGTTATCCACTGGGTATGCTTTTAGAATTGAAAGATGTATCACCACGCCATCTAAACATTGTCTATTAGGAAATAATGCTTAGAAATGATTCAGTGATTTGCTCATTATCGTGACTATTTACAAAGATCTCTATTTACGTTAGCAATAAATAATTCAGATATCAAAAGAGATAATGCTCATGCACACAACGAGATGGCTGCATGCTCTTAAAATATGTACACGTAGTTTCTTTGTAACAGTTTTCCCATTAGTCGAGAAAGTGCACATCTTTCAACTGTCCTCACGTTTCCTTTAGTCTTGCTTCTGGGGGATGCAACCTTCCATTTCTACGACTTCCGGCCATCCTTCGTATTTGTTTGTGTCCTTATTGTTCTTTATGTGCTGTTGAAACACAACGGTAGTATACAGTTTTAAAAACCTTCGTCAACTTGATTTGTGATAACATACTTCACTCGTGCTCATTTTAGTAATACTCATGCCAACGAGGAGTTCATATAAATTATTGTTTAAGATATTAAATGAGGGATTTTGGGGGCCTGGCATGTATGTGGCAGACCTTCAGACAACAGCTGAAAGGACAAAACACTGAGATGTTCTCAAAGGATCATTTCTTAGTCAAAAAATAAAGTTTACATCATACTAAGTTCTAAAGTATTTCCGAACCTAACTGATTCTAATATCAAAAGTTCAATTAAAATCCTTAGTAACTAAAAAGTCCTAAAAAGTTTAAGATAAAAGTAATCATGTTCCAATGCATTGTCATGTAGGAAAAAATAATCCCAGTGAAGAGTATCATTACTTTTAGGTATTTTTAGGTTTTAAAATTAAAACAGTACCATAATTGATTACCAAGAACTTATAAAAATATGTGAGTATATTTAATGTCTGCTTAATCTAATTTTCAAATAACTTGGATAGGAATATGTACCAAAGGGTTTCACACAATTTACTTTTCCTCATTAAATACGAAAACCTAAGACACTAACCTGTTCAAAAGGGCTTTTTGTCTTAATGCCTTTCCCGCCACAGAAGACCCAGTTATCTCTGAAGCCAAGACTAGTAATAGATGTACTCCCCAATTCAGCAATGAGCCGCCGCGCCTCATCATTGAGTCTGAGAGAGGGAAACAAAGAATACGGTAAACACAGCGCACGATATGTTACCTAATATCTAACAAAGCACATGAAATAAAATGAGAAAACGCCAGCTTAAGTAAGAGAACATAAAAAAAAAAGATACAGAATTTTTTTCCGAGTAACATTTCTACTACTTTAATTCTCTAGTGACAAAAGACATGAAATCCAGCAGTTAGTTTTTTTATTAGGAAGTACCTTTTAGATGTCTTTGTTTCACAACAATACTTAACCTTAATTATTTTAATTATATCTATCAAATAAAAGCGATACCTACCCAGATAAAAGAGGCCTACCTAGGCTAATGCAAGGTCTTAAGCAAGCAATACTTTTGTAAAATTAAAAATCACTTTCAAGCTCCACTAAACCTTTTGTAAATTATATTTAAACAGAAAAAAGGTAAATGCTGATAGAAATCTGAATGTTTCCAACAAAATGTCTTATTTAAAACAAAATGAATTTTGAAGATGGGGATATAAATTAATCGCTAAGTGATAATCGCTAAGTGATTATTAAAAATGAAAATATTAACCACATAGCAACTAAGTTATCGGCAAGCAGGGGAAGGAGAGTGACAAAAGTCAACTGTTAGGGAAACCACCAATTGCCACAAAAAGATTTTTACGTAGGTTATTATCCTAAGGGGTCCTCGTGGCACAATGGTTAAGAGCTCAGCTGCTAACCAAAAGGTCAGCAGTTCAAATCCACTAGCCATGCCTTGGAAACCCTATGGGGCAGTTCTACTCTGTCCTATAGGGTCGCTATGAGTTGGAATCAACTTGAAGGCAATGGGTTTGGTTTGGCTTTTTTTATCCTAAGTATAAGCGATTCTATCTCCCCTGTCTCAGTAGGTAAATGTAAGCTGTACACCTAAAAAAAAAGGAAGACAAAAACCAAAAAGATAACTGAAGGAGGCCACCTGTGTAGGTATTTGGTATTAAGCCATAGACATCAACTAATTCAAGAGGCTTGGACCTGAGCTAAGGCAAATTTTATATTTGTGAACTGCTGGAGGATCAGTAATTGTAAACAGGTAGAGCATCAGTGAGGAAGGTACTTATTTATTCCACAGTGTTCCTGTAAGTATCCCATGCTCACATCACTAGGCTGAAATGACGAAGTAGGACCGAGATGCAGAAGTCAAGCAATAGGTTCACCGGGCAGGTGTCTATTGCAGAGCAGCTGTGGGGCTTGATTCACATTTACAGCTCAGAAAAATTACAAACTGTCACATCACAGGCCTTAGGGTGGCTGAAATAGTGCATGTTAAGTTCACAAATGCCAAGGGGGCTGCATTATATACAAAAACTGCTCACAAAGTGATAACCCAAATGCAGGTATGGTCCCCTGTAAAAAGTAAGTAAAATCCTTCTTATCTAAGAGTTTTGCGTTAACTAAGAGATATACTGATGGGCAGTCATTTTTCACTTCTGTACTTTTGAATTTTGATCTCTATGATGAAATCAAGCCAATTTAGCCAGAGATCTAGAAGCAACTTGAAAATTTTTCAATTTTGACTCCATTAATCTCTTTCCTTACCTCCCCATGAGACCACCATTAGGTTCCATATAGAAGATTTAACATGGCAGGCCTGAGACACAGGAAGGCCTGATAAGAAGGCCTCACTGTGCCTCAACTGTTTGCATCAACAATGTGGTTTACGCCGAACACCTGCTTTCTTTCCGGGATTCCAGAGTTTTGGTACATGCTAGGCAAAAGGTACCTACATACCTAACTCTCCATAAAAACACTTGGCACTGAGTCTCTAATGAGCTTCCCTGGTGACAACATTTCACACCTGCTGTCACAGTTCATTGCTGGAGGAATTAAGCTTGTTCTACGTGACTCCATTTGGGTGATAGCTCTTGGAAGGTTGGGCCTGGTTTCCCTCAGACTTTGCCCCATGCACCTTTCCCCTTTGCTGATTTTGTTTTGTATTCCTTCTCTCTAACAATCATAGGTGCGAGTGTAGACTATATGCCCAGACGTCCTAGTGAATCAAACCTGGGAGTGGTCTTAGGTCCCTGACACATGCTTATACGTATGTATATATAACCGTAGTTTTAAAACAAGACACCTTTCTCAATGGCTTATAAAGTTTTCTGATCTAGGTAGAGTTGAGGGGTTATTTTATCATTCCTTTTTGATATCTTCCATTTAAGTTGTTGTTGTGTGGCACTGAGTCGATTCAGACTCGTAGCAACCCTATAGGACAGAGTAGAACTGCCCTATAGGACAGGGTAGAACTGCCCTATAGCGTTTCCCAGGCTGTAACCCTCATGGGAGAAGAGTGGGTTTGAGTGGGTTTGAACTGCTAATCTTTCGGGTAGCAGCTGAGTGCTTCATCACTGCACCACCAGGGCTCCTTTAAAAGATTTAATTTCATATTTCAAGAAAGAAGTTTAAAACAATGTAATACAGTCAGCGTTTGAACATTACATTAAATATAAAGTATCAAAATGCCCCATTTCTTTAAAAGCCAGGGTAACTAATTTTATATAGAAAATAAAGTTTGGAGATAAAAGTATTCTATATAGAAACATCATGGGTTTATTGCACATATTTTAATCTTTACTAATGGTCTTAACTAGCTGAGGTGTTAAAAAACAATTCATACTGAATAAATTATTTTAGGTAAGAATTTTTTTTTAAATAGAAAATTATCCTGTGACAAACCAAGAGGTAGACATAGCTAGGGATCAAGTCTTCCTAGAACAGATTCTAAAGCTGCACAGAGACCACTGGAGTAGAAATGGAAGAAGTGGGGGATGGAGATGGGGAATCTCTGGATCTGCCCCAAGCCTCGCTGGGAAAGGAGGCCCATCTGACAGTCCTATAGACCATATCACCAAAGCAAGCTCATTTATACTCCCTTTTTCAAAAAGCAGAGTCCCTGTATGATACAAATGGTTAATGTACTTGGCTGCTAACAGAAAAGTTGGTGGTTAAGAGTCCACCCAAAGGTCTCTTGGAAGAAAGGCCTGATGTCTACTTCTGAAAAATCAGCTATTGGAAACCCTATGAAGCACATTTCTACTCTGACACACACAGGCTTGCCGTGAGTTGGGACTGACTCGATAGCAACTGGGTTTTCTGTTTTTCTCAAAAAGCACAGGATACGACAAGGAGAACTAATATTCTGGGCTCAATTCTAAACAACAGGGAAGAACAAGCTGGGAAGTGGAAGTATGAAAGAACTTTGGAAGAAAATCACCATATTACCCAGGAATTTGAAGAGTAAGGTAAGAAACACTAGGCATAGGGGAGCATGTAGCATATTACAAAAGAGAACATATTACAAAAGTCTAGAATAGCAACTCCTATGAGGGAATGACTCTTTAAAAACAAGCAAGCAAGAAAACCAGTAATTTTCACTCTATAATTGCAAATTCCAAAAAAAAAGGGAGGACAGTTTCTAAATTAGTGTTACCACAGGGGTGTTCTGGGATGGGCTCAAACTTAAAAAAGGAAGCATGCAAAAACACAAGGCAAACCACACTTTACTAATGACAAAGCTTTTAATACTACTACCAGGAAGTCCTGTAGTACTCAGAATGAGACCAGAGGAGACAAAACTATGAAAGCCACAGAAAGCACTTACACTACCAAGTGTGAAAACAAAGAGACTATTCATTGCACAAGAAAAATGAAATAATATTGACAAATCAAAGCCTGTCTTCTCTAGTAAGGCCAACACTTTATCGACATAAAAAGGAAATAACAGCTCAAGAACTGTCTGTGTTTTAAGTAAATTTTTAAGCCTCCAGGCCCAGGCAAGTCACACATTTAGATTCTAAAGGAACTCATTAATATCATCTACAAGCCAGTGTCAGTTACTTAAAGCTGTTGTTGCTGTTGTCAGGTGCCATCAAGTCGGTTCTGACTCACAGTGAACCCAAGTACAACAGAACTAAACGCTGCCGGGTCCTGCGCCGTCCTCACAATTGTTGCCATGTTTGAGCCCACTGTTGCAGCCATTATGTCAACCCATCTTGTTGAGGGTCTTCCGCTTGTTCTCTGACCCTCTACTTTACCAAGCATGATGTCCTTCTCCAGGGACTGGCCCTTCCTGATAATATGTCCAAAGTACATGAGACAAAGTCTCGCCATCCTTGCTTCTAAGGAGCATTCTGGTTGTACTTCTTTCAAGACAGAAGAGATTTCTTCGTTCTTCTGGCAGTCCATGGTATATTCAATATTCTTCATCAACACCATAATTCAAAGCATCAATTCTTCTCTGGTCTTCCTTATTCAATTTCCAGCTTTTGCATGCATATGAAGCAACTGAAAATATCATGACTTGGGTCAGGCACACCTTAGTCCTCAAGGTGACATCTTCGCTTTTTAACACTTTAAAGAGGTCTTTTGCAGCAAATCTGCCCAATGCAGTACATCGTTTGACTTCTTGACTGCTGCTTCCATAGATGATGATTGTGGATCTAAGTAAAATGAAATCCTTGACAACTACTTCAGTCTTTTCTGTTTATCATGATGTTGCTTATTGATCCTGTTGTGAAGATTTTTGTTTTCTTTATGTTGAAGTATAATCCATACTGAAGACTATACTAGTCTTTGATCTTCATCAGTAAGTGCTTCAAGTCCTCTTCCGTTTCAGCAAGGAAGGTTGTGTCATCTGCATATCACAAGTTGTTAATGAGTCTTCCTCTAATCCTGATGTCACGTTCTTCTTCATATAGTCCAGTCTCTCGGATTATTTGCTTAGCATACAGATTGCATAAGTATGGTGATGGGACACACCCCTGACGCACACCTTTCCTGATTCAAAACCATGCAGTATCTCCTTGTTCTGTTCGAAAGACTGCTTCTTGGTCTATGGACAGGTTCCTCATGAGCACAATTAAATGTTCTGGAATTCCCATTCTTCACAATGTCATCCATAATTTGTTATGATCCAGAGTCGAATGCCTTTGCACAGTCAAACACAGGTAAACATCTTTCTTGTATTTCCTGCTTTCAGCCAAGATCCATCTGACATTAGCAATGATATCCCTCGTTCCACTTCGTCTTCTGAATCCAGCTTAAATTTCTGGCAGTTCCCTGTCTGTGTGCTGCTGCAACCGCTCTGGATTACAACAAAGACAATCTATGAGCATTAAGAAGAAGTAAAGGGTAGGGGGAGGGAGGAGGAAGTGAAGCCAGGTTACCACCATTTCAGTTATTTCTGCTGTTGAAGAGATTTTGGGCAGTAGATCAGGGAACTATAATTATTAGCATAGTCCATGAATTTCAAGTGAGCATCTGATAGTCTTAGAACATACCCTCTATGAATAAAAGAATAAAGCAGCAGCTGGATGGTATGCCTCTTAGGGTTCACTGGCAGCTGTCTGAATAGTAGTATCTGCAGTTGGTTAGCAGATAGAATCACTTGGAGGAAGACTCTAGCAGGGTGGCACCCTGACCTTGGTAAACATTTTTATCAATGACTCAGGTGTAAAAATGACTTTGGAGAGAGTCAAAGTCTAGATTATGGAGCGCTCATAGGACAAATGTCAGAATCAAGACCAAGTGGGCCAAAATCAGCAAAATTAAATTTAACAAGGATAATTGTAATATAAAGTTCTCCATTTAGATTAAACAAAATCAAGTTCTGAATGGGGAGTGAGACCTCTCTTGGCAGTGGTTTTTTAGGGAAAAAAAAAAAAGTCTGAGATCAGATGAAAAGATCTGAGAATTTAACTTGACCAAAACCTCATGAGCCAAAAATGTTATGTGACTGTTTAAAGAAAACTAATACAATACTAGCCTGCATGAATATTCAAAGAAATATAATATCTAAAACATGGTAAGCTCGCATCTCCATGGTACCCTGTACTGGCCAGACCACATCTGGAACATTGTGTTCAATTTGGGGCCACTTATTTTCAGACAGACAATAATCACTGAGAGAACGCCCAAGGAAATGCAGCCAGGAGGGTAAAACAACCTAGAAACCTAGCATGATAAAAGGTTATAACAGCCATGCAGATTGAGCTCTGAAAGGAGGAAAGCTAAAGAGAAACGCCAATTAGCTTCAGGCACTTGAGGTATCAGATGAGAGGGAAACACATTTACTATTCTGTTGTTTCTCTTATTCAAATGAAGGATTATCTGGTAGAATTTAGACAAAGATCACCTTCAGAACACAACATTTATTTTAAAATAGTTCTTTTGTTTCAAATAGACAAATGGCAAGGGTTCCAGCACCTTTAGGAGGTAAGGAGTTCGGGGAGGTATTCAGAGACGTTCCAAAGCAATCTTGCCGTGGCTGGGACGCTGGATCGTGACCTTTAAGGTCTCTCCTTACTCGGAGACATTCACATATAAACCTTGCACGTAGCCATGAAGTTAACAAGCCATAGAGCATTCGCTCCAAAAGGAGGAATATAATAGCAAAATTTAGCTTGCTCATTCAAATTATTATAAAAAAGACAAACCAAACCTGTTGCCGACGAGTCGATTCCAACTCATAGTGACCCTACAGGGCAGAGCAGAACTGCCCCATAGTTTCCAAGGGATGCCTGGTGGATTCGAACTGCAGGCCTTTTGGTTAGCAGACGTCGCTCTTAACCACTATGCCACCAGGCATCATTACACTCTCCACTAAACAAGCAAAAAACAAACTTGCTCCATAGATACATAAAATACTTATAAGATGAGAAACGGTTAATATGCTTATTATATAAAAGGGTTCTTACAAATTAATATGAGTGAGCCTGAATGGTCAAAAGACAATTTACAAAAGAAAAGGCCAAAACAATTTGTTGGAAGAATATTTAATGATATGGTAAAATACTCATCACATAAACAAGCTGAAAAATTATGCTATATATACTACCATTCCAAATTTGTAAAATGAAGAAAATATGTGTATTAAGAAGTCTGGCGATGGAAACTAAAATATTTTCAATGGTTATCTCTAGGCAATGAAATGAGCTATGTAACTTGTTCTCTTCTTTGAGTTTTTCTATACACGCAGTTCTGAGGTTACAAATGTCTGACTTATGTCCCACTTGCGTACAATCCATAGCTGTAGAACACACAGTTACAAACCAACCCCCGTAAAGACTATTATATTAAAAATTTGAGGTACATACAATGGTTCGTAATAACAAAGCATCAAAACATTATTATTATTACCATACTATTATGCTAAAGATGTTTTAGTATATCTGGAAGTGTTTCTTTAACATACCTAACTGTTTCAACTTGTGTACAAATTCAACTTAAAGACAGATTTAGGAATGGAACTCATTCATAATTTGGGGACTGCCTGTACTTTCCAAATTTTGATAATATACACAAATTTAAGATAAAAGGCTATACAACTATCATCTACTAGACTTTATGAAAAATATATCATACCTATATACATCCCAGACAATTAATTTCACTTTTAGGAATTTACCCTAAGGACATAATCAAAGATGCAAAATATGTTATGTAAATTTTCATCACAATGTTATTTATAACATGAAAAACACTGATAATAATAGGGGAACATTTAAATAAAGGTAGAGTCATGATGAACTGCTGATGAGTCATAAGAAATGCTACTGAATAATATTAACATCAGGGAAAAACAATTTAAGGGTAAGAGACAATAAAAGAAAATATAAAAACTTCATATACAATGTGATTCTAATTTCACAACAATGCATGATATATGTTATGGATTGAATTGTGTCCCCCAAAAATATGTGTTGTAAATCCTAACCTTTATACCTGGAAAGGAGCCCTGGTGGCGCAGTGGTTAAGTGCTTGGCTGCTAACCGAAGGTCAGGGGTTCGACCCTACCAGCTGCTCCATGGGAAAAAAATGTGGCAGTCTGCTTCCGTAAAGATTTATAGCCTTGGAAACCCTGTGGGGCAGTTCTACTTTGTCCTATAAAAAACCAAAAACCAAACTTGTTGCAGCTGAGTCAATTCCGACTCATAGCAACCCTATAGCTGCAATTGACTGGACAGCAATGGTTTTAGTTTTGGGTTATCTATACCTGTGGTCATAATCCCATTTGGGAATGGGTTTTCTTTGCTATGTTAACGAGGCAATATTCAAGTAGGGTATGTTTTAAATCAATCTCTTTCTGAGATATAAAAGTAGATTAAGCAAGCAGCAAGGAAACAGATGGGGGAAGACAGATGCCAGGCCACATGAAAGAAACCTCCAAGGAACCAAGAAACAGGAGCTGAGAAGAGACAAGGACCCTCCCCTAAAGCCTACAGAGAAAGCCTTCCCTTAGAGCCGACGGCCTAAATTTGGACTTCTAGCCACCTAAACTCTGAGAAAATAAATTTCTGTTTGTTAAAGCCACTCACCTGTGGTATTTCTGCTACAGCAGCACTAGATAACTAAGACACTATATAACTGCATGGAAAAATCAGAAGGAAACAAACTAAAAATGCTAATAGTGGATATCTGGTAGTCACTTTGCTATATTTTACAAGTTTTTTCAATGAAAATGTATTGCTTTTGTAATTATAAATCATAGCTCCAAAACATTGCATAATGTTTTAAGTTTACATACTTGGTTGCTCCATCATCATACGTTCCCATTAAGACTATTGTTCCATCTTGTATGGACTTCAGAAACTCAATAAATGGTGCCACGTCTGAAGAAAAAGAAAGGGTTGAGGGCTTTTTTTTAATGACTAAGTAACCATCTCAATCTATAAATTATGATTTATTAATCAATAATTTCTAATGTGGAATAGTCAAAACTGGAGACATCTTATGTAATGGTTTAAAAAAAACTGTCAAGTTTACCCCTTACGGTGATTTCACCATCAACTCACAATGTCCTAACCCTGATTCACCCTGTATGTTCTTTTGCATTAATATTTCAAGGGCTAAATGACTTACAATGAAAAGTAAGAAATTCAGAGATCTCTCAGACATGAATAATTGGGACTATGGAAAGCCTGATTCTGGGGTCCAGGAGTAAGCTACAGAGGACAGGAGAAAGGCTTATGGATTCCCTGGGTGTATATAAAATTGTTATCAGTACTTTTCTACAAAGAAGATATACTGCTTTTATCAAATTATCACAGGGATCTGTAATTCTTAAAAATTATATAAATATGTATGTGCACACCAACACAGATTTAAGGGGTCTTCTGGGCATACCTACTTGCTATGAGCTGAGGTAAAGAATCCAGGTTAGGGTATCACTAAAGTCAAAGTAATTATGGCAGGTATCAAACTTATGAACCACTTCATCCAGTGTATCAAGATCCCCAAAATAAACTACTTCCGTGGCTACAAGCTGGTGGATGCCAACTGAGGATGCAGAAAGGTCAGGTGCGAAACATCATTTTACATCTTGAGCTCTTTACAATGACAGGTTTCCTTATAGCCTCCAAATCTACTATTACTTGAATGTTGGGCTACTTTGATGAACTCCATTTCTTTCCACAGCAAATCTCCGGAAGATTTTCTCTAAGTTATTCTATGTCATAACAATAGCATTTTTAAATCAGAAAAAAATGTCACAAGGTAGCTAACAAATCATTTTGATTCAAATGCAAAGATAACAGTACAACTGCAACTATTGCTTAAGTAGCAGAGTGTTAACTATTTCTTAAGTAGCAGTGTTTTTAAGCAGCAATTTAACCTCCATGCAATGGGGGTGTGGGAAAGATTTCAGGGCTTCCCGTCACATTATTGATTTCAACAGGAGTGTTTCTGTAGTAAGTTTTGGTAAAACCAATTATGCCTTTACTTTCTGAAATTGATGGTAGCATTTTAGTTTACACAGCTTTGATAGGTATGAAAGGTTCTCCTACTCTCAATTACAAAATAATACATGAAATTTTATTAAAAGCTGAAGAAATGCTAGAAAAGCAGAATTTTCTGAAAATTCTTAACATGAATCTCAGAAAGCCAAATAGCTGTAGTTGCTAGGGAATATTGAAAGGGGCTAGAAAGGTGCAGGGGAGATTGCTGTACTGGTAAATTTCCAAAACTAACAACTTAGAGAAGAATCGAAAGATAAAGCAGTGTTGGCTTTCCTTCAGAGGAGGAAGGAAGCCCTTTCTTTCCGGCAGTATTCTTCTTCTGGGTGCCAGGTTCTTGTCTCTGCCTGATGGGGACTTCTCCACAGTTCCCTGAGGGACTTCCAAAAACATAAAGGGAAAACATCTATGGACTGCTCTAAGTTTAAAGAACTGGAAAGAAAATTCCATCTATTTTAATAATTAGCCATATGTCACAAGGTGAAGTGGGATAACAGAATTATTCCTTTCCTCAAACCTGACAGTTGATTGTGTATGCTGAATGCTCCTAGATTTTATTTCTGAGATTGAAAAAATCACATGTAAAGAAATCAATTCAATTAAAAGTGTTTAAATAAGTTTTTCTAGTCTTCAAATTATTTATCCTTTTGAATTTCAGACAAAAACTCAAAGGAGCCCAAAGCTCCTTGCTTACAAAGTTAGCTACCTAGTTTCACCAAGCTTAAAATTAGTTGTCCTGCAGAAAACAGGATACACTTTTAAACCTCAATTTTTATATGACTGTCCTCAATTACACACCATAATCAATTTTTCTAACAAAACTAAAGTATATACAATATGACCAATCACTAAAATATAGCTGGGCATTTGGTGAAAAGTTAAGAGTACATTATTCTGTCATTAATGGACTACATTATGTTGAGGTAATTAAGAAGTCAGTGCTAGCAGCTGAATAGTTTACATGTTATTCCCACTTACCTCCTCCCCACATGTCAAAATATTTAGTGTCTAATACTTCTCCGGTTTTTCCTGAAAGAGATTAAGTTCATATCAAATTGTATAACTGAAATATACTATACACTGTATAAGAAAAATGATCTTATCCATCAATTGATGGGAATTCATTAGCACAGAAGAAATTATTTTGAGAGAAGCACTTAAAATTTGAATCGTATTCATCCGAAGTATATTTTTAAAGGATAATCTGTGGATGCCCCGTAGGACTGTGTCGCTAACCTTTTAAGCCAAGAGTGGCAAACAGAAGTTCACTACTGATTGCCGACCAGTCTACTTAAAAGTGAGATATTTTTCATCTTTATGTGTTAACCATCTTCCCTCATTTAAGAATTACCCAAAAATACCCTCATGAAAAAAAATCTCCTTGAATCAGACATTTTCTATCATTAAAGCTAACTTTTTAAAAAATATATATTTTACATTTATTTCCCTTTTAAAGTGTATTTTTTCGCTATCAATAGACAGATACAGAATCTTTTAACTAACAAAATGAAGAAAGTAGAAACATAAAAATTTGCTTCTTGAGAAAGAAGTAAAAAGTATTTTCCTGCCCTATGAAGCAGGTAAGGTGGCTGGTGGTTTCTAACCACCCTATGCAGCTCACAGGTCACTGCACCAGAACAGAGAGGATTAGCATGCAACTAGACCTCACTTCACAGGTTCAGACTTTCAGATGTGACTTTGCTAGAACACCCACAGAATTCAGTGAACTAACTTACACCAACAAAGCTAAGAGAATAGTGTGGAGAGAAGTGAAATTACAATAAATTCTTACACAGGCTTTCCTAGGCTGTAATCTTTATGGGAACAGATTGCCAGGTCTTTTCTCCCATGGAGCCACTGGTGGGTTGGAACCACTGACCTTTTGGTTAGCAGCCAAGCACTTAGCCATTCTGCCACCAGGGCTCCTTTCATATTACATCAGGACTCCAAAATTTGCAACAAGAATTCATCAATTTAATGTTAGATTGGTTATTTCCTGACAATTGCATGGGAGGCTCTCCATGCAAGAAGCTGAGATGCTTCTGAGAAAATATGCTATAAATACTTGGACGCCGAGCCTCCATCTATAAGTTTTTTGTTAGTTCACTAGTTTTTGAGGAGGGGAGGGCTTCAGTGTCAAGCATGGCATTTTCCAATCTGATCCCTTCCTTGATAATTATTTTGGGCACGTGAATATTCACCGACTACACCAAGTTAAAATAATTATTCTTACCATTTGCCAAGGCAACATTGATCCCTCTTCCAACATTATTCTTAACACCACTCATTAAACTGAAGGGGAAAAAGTTGAGAGAAATTTAGAATTCGGTATTTCATATGAACATATAGCACAGAAATAAAGTCATGTCAAAAAAACCTAGTTAGGTGTCTTATGTATACCCACTGCCTTTAGCACTACAGAGGAAGTGAAAAGGTCTCTACTAAGTCGGGAGGAATTGACTGGATGGCAACTGGTTTGTTTTTTGTTTTATTTTGTTTTTGTTACTAAGTAAGAGAAGACAGACTAATACTGAATAATTTTAATACAATCTCCTTAAAAAGATTTCACACATAGAATATATATATTAAAAAGTATTAGGGCAGAAACACAAACTAGTACTTGATGCTCTGCATCACATCACGAAATACTATTTTAAAAATCCTTACAACATATGGACACACTGTATCTAACCACAGTCACTTATACCATTATATCTGACGCAATCAACAGCCAGTAACAGCTCACAAAACATTACACAGATATAAGTGTTGTAGTTATTTGCCATCAAGTTGGTGCCGACTCATGGCGACTCTGTACGACAGAACGAGACATTGCCCGGTCTTGTGCCATCCTCACAATTGTTGTTATGCTTGAGCCCACTGTTGCAGCCACCGTGTCAATCCATCTTGTTGCAGGTCTTCCTCTTTTTCGCTGGCCCTCTACTTTACCAAGCATTATGTCCTTTTCCAGGGACTGATCCCTCTTGATAATATGTCCAAAGTACATGAGATAAAGTCTTGCCATCCTTGCGTCTAAGGAGCATTCTGGTTGTACTTCTTCCAAGACAGATTTGTTTGTTCTTTTGGCAGTCCACGGTATAGTCAATATTCTTCACCAACACCACAATTCAAAGGCATCAATTCTTCTTCGGCCTTCCTTATTCATCGTCCACCTTTTGCATCCATATGAGGCAACTGAAAATACCATGGCTTGGGTCAGGCACACCTTAGTTTTCAAGGTGACATCTTTGTTTTTCAACACTTTAAAGAGGTCTTTTGCAGCAAATTTGCCCAATGCAATGCATCTTTTGATTTCTTGACTGCTGCTTCCGTGGGTTTTGATTGTGGATCCAAGTAAAATGAATCCCTTGACAACATCAACCTTTTCTCCATTTGTCATAATGTTGCTTATTGGTCCAGTAGTGAGGATTTTTGTTTTCTTTATGTTGACGTGTAATCCATACTGAAGGCTGTGGTCTTTGATGTTTATCAGTAAGTGCTTCAAGTTCTCTTCACTTTCAGCAAGTAAGTTTGTGTCATCTGCATAACGCAGGTAATTAATGAGTCTTCCTCCAATCCTGATGCACCATTCTTCTTCACATAGTCCAGCTTCTTGGATTATTTGCTCAGCATACAGACTGAATAGGTATGGTGAAAGGATACAACCCTTACCACATCTTTCCTGACTTTAAAACACGCAGTATCCCCTTCTTCTGTTCGAACAACTGCCTCTTGATCTATGTATAGGTTCCTCATGAGCACAATTAAGTGTTCTGGAATTCCCATTCTTTGCAATGTTATCCATAACCTGTTATGATCTACACAGTCGAATGCCTTTGCATAGTCAATAAAACACAGGTAAACATTTTTCTGGTATTCTCTGCTTTCAACCGGGATCCATCTGACATCAGCAATGATATCCCTCATTCCACATCCTCTTCTGAATCTGCCTTGAATTTCTGGCAGGTCCCTGTTGATATACTGCTGCAGCCACTTTTGAAAGATCTTCAGCAGAATTTTACTTGCGTGTGATAATTAATGATATTGTTTGATAATTTCCTCATTCTGTTGGATCACCTTTATTTAGAATGGGCACAAATATGGATCTCTTCCAGTCGGTTGGCCAGATAGCTTGTGTCTTCCAAATGTCTTGGCACAGACGAGTGAGCACTTCTAGTGCTGTATTCATCTGTTGAAACATCTCAATCGGTGTTTCTGTCAGTTCCTGGAGGCTTGTTTATGCCAATGCCTTCAGTGCAGCTTGGACTTCTTCCTTCAATACCATCAGTTCCTGATCATATGCTACCCCCTGAAATGGCTGAATGTCAACCAATTTTTTTTTGGTATAGTGACTCTGTGTATTCCTTCCATCTTCTTTTAATGCCTCCTGAGTCATTTAATACTTTCCCTATAGAATTCTTCAATATTGCAACTCGAGGCTTGAATTTTTTCTTCAGTTCTTTCAGCTTAAGAAATGCTGAGCATGTTCTTCCCTTTTGATTTTCTAACTCCAGGTCTTTGCACATGTCATTATAATACTTTACTTTGTCTTCTCTAGCCGCCCTTTGAAATCTTCTATTCAGTTCTTTTACATCATCATTTCTTCCTTTTGCTTTAGCTACTCTACATTCAACAGCAAGTTTCAGAGTCTCTTCTGACATCCATTTTGGTCTTTTCTTTCTTCCCTGCCTTTGTAATGACCTCTTGCTTTCTTCATGTATGATGTCCTTGATGTCATTCCACAACTCGGCTGTTCTTTGGTCATTAGTGTTTAATGCGTCATATCTATCCTTGAGATGGTCTCTAAATTCAGGTAGGATATACTCAAGGTTGTACTTTGGCTCTCGTGGATTTGTTCTAATTTTCTTCAGTTTTAACTTGAACTTCCATTCGAGCAATTAATGCTCTGCTCCATAGTCGGCCCCTGGCCTTGTTCTGACTTATGATATTAAGCTTTTCCATCTTCTCTTTCCACATATGTAGTCGATTTGATTCCTGTGTATTCTGTCTGGTGAGGTCATGTGAATGGTCGCCAATTTATGTTGGTTAAAAAAGATATTTACAATGAAGAAGTTGTTGGTCTTTCAAAATTCTATCATGAGATCTCTGGCAACATTTCTATCATCAATCCTTCTTGTTTGTCTCCAACTTTTGCATTCCAATCACCAGTAATTATCAATACATCCTGATTGCATGTTGGATCGATTTTGGACTGCAGAAGTTGGTAAAAATCTTCCATTTCTTCATCTTTGGCCTTAGTGGTTGGTGCATAAATTTGAATAATAGTCATATTAACTGGTCTTCCTTGTAGGCATATGGATATTATCCTATCACTGACAGCGTTGTACTTCAGGATAGATCTTGAAATGTTCTTTCTGATAATGAATGCAACACCATTCCTCTTCAATTTGTCATTCCCGGCAGAATATAAAATGCTACTGTGAAATGGAAGATACCAGTGAACCAGCTGCTCAGCTCACTATATTATCAGTTAAGTTTGTTCAATTAGAACTATTAAACTAAACTAAAATAGTGTGCACCTTTAACTGTAAAAATAGTAATAATCCCAGTGGTGTGCTGTTAAATGTTTAACAACCAGTTTCAGGTTGGGGGAGGGAGGAGTACGCACAGTGGTACGAATACACATGTATCCATACACTGATACATACGTACACTGAGGAATGAAGTTTTTAATTCTCATGGAATCCAGATCCATGGAGGCTGAAATGACCCACCCAAACTATTGCCCTGAGGTAATCTCTGAATCTTAAACCTTGAGAAAACTGGTTTCCTGAAAGTCATCTTTAAGTCAAACTATAGTAAAAGAATGTTTGCCTTGGGCATTCTGCTCTTTTAAAGAATTATCTATGTGTAATTTCAAGGACAGAAACTCCAAAGGTCAGACTAGAAGCTACGTTTTAGGGTAAATCAGTAATTATCAGAACTATTCTTCAAGAAAATGTTGCATGTTGTCAGTTATTATGTAAACACTATCTTGGCTCTGTTTCCACGGCAATGTGTAATTGTTGGAAAAGTTGCCCCAATTTGCAAACTGTGTATTAAATAAATTTCAATCAATTTCTATTATTGGCTTAATATTATTTTTGTTTTAACAACATACAAATATATATACATATATACATGTATCAATGATGTAAGGCGTCTTTCCTGAATCAGATAAATTTTCAAATACCAGAAGACTATTTCCTAATTTTTTTGTGCTAGTCAAAATGTAATAGCTAGAGATATGACACACTTATAAGTTTAATCTGCATCATTAACACTTTCTCTCTCCCTCACTTTAAGTCTAGACCTCAAGTTAGCCTTTTTCTGTAAAGAGACAGATAATAAACATCAAGGGAGCAACCACTGAAAAAGCTATACAAAGAGATAAACTCAAAAACACTATAAATAAATCAAAAGAAAACTCTAAAAAATGTTCATGGAAGAAACACGGAAGAAAGGAACAAAAGAAAAATAGCCACAGAAAGGAATGAAGTACTGATACACACGAAAACATGCATGAACACTGAAAACATGGTAAGTGAAAAAAGCCAGTCTAAAAGAAAGGGGAAAAAAAAAAAAAAAACCACACGTGTATGATTCCATGTATAAGAAATGTCCAGAACAGGCAAATCTACAGGGGCTCAAAGTAGATTAGTGGCTGCTTAAGGCTGGTGAGGACTGGGGGATAGGAGGACAATTGGTTAAAGGTATAGAGTTTTTTTTGCGGGGGGGTCACGAAAATGTTCTAAACTGACTGTGGTGATGGCTGCATATATCTATGATTGCATATACTTTGAAGTGTATACATATGTACTGTGAACTGTATACTTCGAATGAATCACATAGAACACTTCAGTTCTCCCCAAACAGATATGTAAGTTTAACACAATTCCTACCAAAATCTCAGAAAAAAATTTTTTTATAGATACAAGCAAGATTATTCTAAAATGTATATGGGAAATGCAAAGGAACTAGAATAGCTAAAACAATTCTGAAAAAGAATAAAAGGAGGAAAATCATTCTACCCCATTTCAAGATTTATTCTACAGATAGTGTAATCAAGAGTGCGCAGTGTTAGTGGAGAGGAAGACACATTGGTCAATGGAAGGAACAGCTAACTCGGAAATGGACCAGTGGAAATATGGCCAACTAACTTCCGAAAAAGTGCAAAAACAATTCAATGGAAGAAGGATAGTCATTTCAACAGACGGTGCTGGAGCAATTAAATAACCACAGGCCAAAAAAATGAACCTCCACCTAAATCTGGATCCTTGTTTAAAAATTAA